CGTACTCTTCGCAGTCATCGACTACGCTGGTATCCCGAAGTGCACAAGAGTCGGCTAGCAAAGCTCTCAGTTGTACCCAGCCCCACCTGTTGGAGTTACTTCAGGAGGCCGATGGGCTCCAAGCTTGGTTCAAGTCCTTACGCCTAGTGCACGTGAAAAGCGATTTCAACACTGTTGCCGACTACATCTCCAAGCGAGCCATCAAGGACCAGTCATCATTGGAGGTCATGGACCCCGCTGAACGCAAGTTGCTCCAAGGCCTGAATCGGATCCACGAAAAACCGATGAAGGATCCGAGCCCCCGGAAACAGTCGCTGATGGAGTGCGCGTTTCTAGCCACGGCTCGAAACATACCCAAGCACTCCCCAAGAGGTTCAGAAGACGACGTGTTCGCGGTGACGCGCTCGAAGTCCAAACAGGTCAAGACCACAGCGGAATTGGCCCCAGGAACCAGAGCCGACGACTCTGGAACCGACGGTCCCAGAACCAATGCCCTCGGAACCAACGAGTCGGAAACCGATGATACGGAGGACAAGCCGACAGCCGCTCCCCGGCTCCTCGACTGCCAGGCCTCTAACGAAGACCCTGAAGACGTTCGCGCAGAACGATGGAGGAAGATTTGCTCTCACCAGGCACACGACCCAGGGCTAGCGCCCTTGCTAAAGTTCCCCCAGGGCGAGACCGAGCAGTTGTCCCTGAGACAAACTACACACTTGTGCACCAGTTTGTGTTGGACTCTCGGGACGCTGTTCTATGTGAGTCGTAACACCCCTGAAACGTCCCCGAGACACCGCAGACCGTCTCCGCCTGGTAGTACCCTGGGATCTCCAGGAGGACATTCTGCACCACTGCCACGTGGACTTCCAAGGTGCTCATCAGGGGATTACCCGGCCCTACGAGAGACTGCGCAAGGAGTTCTACTGGATCGGCATGTTTAAGGATACCGAGGGATACGTCAAAAAGTGCGTTGACTGTGTAACGGCTAAGGGAATCCGGGACCGTCGCCCGGTAACCGGTTTGCTACGCGACCGTCCCGGTTCGTCTCCGTGGACTTCGTGACACTACTACCTCGGTCCGCCCAGGGAAATACGGCGCTGCTTCTGTTCCAGTGCGGGTTCTCGGGGCGCATCATGTGCAAAGCGATGGCGAGCACCGAAGGCCGGGACCTGCCTGAAGCCCACGAAGAGTGTGAGTTCCGGAGGTTCGGAGCCAGCGAAATGATCCGGCACGACCGAGACCCACGCTTCATGGGTCGGGTGTTCAAGCACTTTCGGGAGATCCTCGGGAGCAGGCAACGCGCAACCCTAGTCTACCGTCACCAGGCCAACGGACAACTAGAGAGGTTCATGCAAACGGTGATCCGCAGTGTTAAAGCATACATACAGAATGTGGATCGCGTGACTGGGACGAGCTAGCCGAAAAGCACATGTGGGCGCTGAATACCTATTTCGACTTCACCCGACTCGACACGCCGTTCTACTTGGTACA